TTAAAAATCAAAAGTCAAAGTTCAAGAAATGAGGGTCTCGGAGTATTAGTGTTTTGGATACTATTTCAAGAGTACTGTTGGAGAGAGTACAGTTGAATTATATATCCTCATGCGCACTCCAGATTCAGGGGCCCGTTTTACAAAAGAACTTACGACTAAGCCATAAACTTAAGTTGATTGTAAAATTTTGCAAAATTAATTATTCTTTTTAAATTTTCTAGCATATAAGTATCTTTTTCAATTTATTTTAAAAATATTAAAACCATTTTTAAATTAATGTAAAAGCCGAGAAAGTAATGAGCAAAATTAAATTTCAGCCTTAGTCGTAAGTTCTTTTGTAAAACGGGCCGCAGAGTTCCGGAGTTGAGGTCTCTTGACATTTGGGTCAAAGAAGAAAGAGAATGTTATCAAAGTTGACAATCTAAACAGAAACATGTAACCTTTAGGTGGAAATTAAACAAATAATTATCCATTTATTACGTCAACTTACAAGCTAATCGCTAAGAAGGAAGACCCACTCGTTGCTTTGCAACGAGCTTTGCTCTAGTTATTATCATTATTTCCCCCTTTTTTTGTCGGCAGGATTTCTCAGAGATGACTGGATGGATTTTCCTGAAATTTTCAGGGTTAATAGAGAATGAAAATACCCCGAGGCGTTTTTTTTTCATTTTTTCAAAATTCACTTCCGGTCGTCAGATATGTCCGATTTCCGTTTTTTTCAAAAATATTTTTTCCGAGTGAGATCTCAGAAACGGTAAGAGATAAAGACACCACACTTATATGAGCAATAGATCTTGAAAAGTAGGCGAGCCCATTTGGGTTAAACGTGTCAGTCGTCACTTCCGGTCGTCACAGGAAGTGAACAAAGAAATCGAAAATTTCAACTTTTCGTTTTTGAATCTTTTTTTGCATCACTTTATTGCATCTCATTTGTAGTGTCGAAATATGTCAGTCCCACCGGAAACAAAAACGACAACTTCCGGTTATAAGAGGAAAACTGCATAATTTGAGTATTTTACTTTCCCTTAAATATCTTTTACAGATAAAGTATTTGAAATGATTTTTAGATATGTTATTCAGACTGCAAATGTCTAGAGTAATGACAAATATCTTAGTAAAATTCACTTCCGGTCGCGTGTTCTTCCTGTCCTCAAAATGAAAAGTTATCCGAGCGAGATCTCGGAAACGGCATGAGATTAAGACACCAAACTTAAAGGAGTAATAATCCTTGAGGAGTAGGCAAAAGACATAGGGTTAAACGCGTCAGCCGTCACTTCCGGTCGTCACAAGAAATGATAAAAAAAATCGAAAACTTCAACTTTTCCTTTTAAAATCAAATCTTGCATCACTTTATTGCATCTCTTTCGTTGTTTTGAAAAATGTTAGATTCCACCGGAAACAAAAACTCTTAACCTCCGGTTTTCAGAGATAAACTACGTTATTTCGATGTTTAACTTTCTCATAAATATCACTTACAGATAAATATTTGAAATTTTTTTTTACATATGTTGTAGATACTACAAATGTCTAGAGAAAATCAGAGATTTTTATTCAATTCACTTCCGGTCGTGTGTTTTCCTGTCCCCAAAATTAGAATGTGTTCTCACAATTGCTCGGCAGCAGTAAAAGACCAAAGTCTAAAACTTTCAGGACTTATAGTCAGTCATCAGTTCATATACATCGTGTAAAAATCGTATGTCGTCATTACTTCCGGCCTTGACAAGAAACGAAGCAAAAAAGTAATTTTTTTAGTTATTTTGTTTCTACATCAGTTTTAGGCTAATACCGACGTTGGAAAAGACATGTTCTTGCAAACGGGAGGTAGTATAACGGAAGACCTTCTCATTACTAGTAATGAATTTCTAGTTATAAATATTTTTTGAATGAAGGGGACAGAAAAACGTCATGCCGAAAAAAAATAAAAAATTGAGCTGGGCCATTGAAAAAAAAATCGTTCCCAAATAATGATAGAAATGATAAACTCTTGTGCAGTAAAACCATTGTCCCTGGGACTTAGGTTTGGCCACAAAAGGCTCTATCAACTGTGTATAGGGAAAAAAATGATTTAATAATGTAAATTCAACTTTGTTTGGAACAAGGAAGCAATGAAAGGATGATTCCATGTAAGGTGTTCTACGTTTGCATAGACATAAACAGGACATTTTTTTCCAAGACCTTTTTCCCAAGAACAACATTGCAAGGAGGTATAAAATATACCTGCTATAAGAGATTGTTCTATCTGACGTATCCGTATAAGTATCCGTATCCGTATACGTATCGAGCTCAGAGAGGCATCTCGATCCCGATGTCTATACTATATACTATAATTTCCATCGTAATTTGTTTGGTTTTAAAGCAGCCCCATTCATTTAAGAATAGCATATGGTATTTTTTTCTAATAAAAAAATGTATTAAGCTACTGTAAAAGTTTGTTATTTCGCTGGAAAATTTTTTAAAAAATGGATAATGAAATTCAATAAATTTGTATTTGTTTTCATTATATTGTTTAAAACTTTAATTGCAATTTTGTTTAAAAACATTTATCGGGATCCCCCTCTCTCCCTCTTAACATCAGGACATTTTATTGATTGATTCTGTAATTTACATTAGATGACATAAAAGTTAACCCCCTCACTCACACACTGAATGCAAAAGACGTTGATATCCACACAATCAATAAAACCGTTTAGCAATTTTCTAAAGAGAATCTGCTTCCAGACCATTACCAGTATATGGTTAAAAATACCAGCCTCCCCCCCCCCCCCCCCGAACATGCACACACAAACTTTCATATCGTCTGTTGACTTTCTTCATTCTTTTTTTTTCAATGAACTATTTGACAAATACCTGTATGTCCCCCCTTCCCCTCCGCAGTTGAAATTGCTACTTTCGGGTCTATTCTTGATTTTGTTTTATATTTTGTCCTTTCAGCAGTAATAACTTGAAAAGACTTCATGGCGACAAAAATAGGTAATGAAATGAAAATTCAATTGTTAAATTTGATTTTTCTTTTTAGTTCTCTTGTTGTCGTACATGTGTATTATAATTCATGGTTTGATATAGAACTAAAATAGGGTATTCATTATCTTAACTCTCTTTTTATAAGAAAGAAAAGAACATTAGACTAAATAATGCCAAAACAATAGATTTATCTATTTCTTCTATGCTACCTTGTCCATCCTGCTGATTTTTATTCATTTATATTTTTATTTATTTGTTTATTTATGCATTTTGGCCCAGATTGGGACAAGTGTGAGTCAATTCAACACGCAGTTCATAGAATTGAATAGAAGAGGCTGCTTCAACGTAGCAGAGAAATAAAAAAAAACACACACACAGAATAAAGGATAAAATTTATACAAAACATTAAATTGATAAAATATCAACATTTTTTCAGAGTTTTGATCCCACTTGTACACAAAGAATTACAGTCATCCTAATTTCAATAAATCATTTAAGTAAACTTTAGTCAACATGTATATAAAGTAATGTATAAGACATAAAAAAATTTCTCCGTTTATCTCCTTTTATCGACAATTGTTAATTCATCCCCGACAAAAACTGCGTGTAACTGCATCACTTTCGGAAATCGTAGTCCTTTCTCAAGCTCTCTGGAATTTCGGATACGGCTATCACCTAACAATTTAGGGAATTTAGAGTCTTCAAACCACCCCAGAATTGCCAGTTTTCCAAAGCTTTTCTGGAGAACTATGTCCATCAAATATAATCAAATGATATACAGAATGTTGATAATGATAAAAAAGAAAATGAGGATGGAAATTTTCAGTGATCTCCCCCCCCCCCTCCCCCCCCCCCCACTCACACATAGAGTATGCAGTATGGTCACCTTTTTATTGTCAAAGTTTTGATAAGGTGACTTGTCATATTTTAGTTTCTCCCTGCCTCGGCCCAGCTTCCCCCTTCTCCACTTTGTTAATCAATTTTAAGTGTCTGCTTGATGTAGACAAACTTATACTCATCTAGAATGTTTGATCTCTGACACCCCGTACAGTTAAACTTTGTTAACTCAAACCCTTGGATATATCGAAGTTTTAATTGATCCAATCAAGTTGCATGAGATAACGAGCGTTGACTGTATGCATTATGGGGATGATGTCTTGTACTGGTAAAGGTTACTTCTAGAATGAAACAATAATATATCCTGATACTGTGAGAGAGAGAGAGAGAGAGAGAGAGAAATCCCTTTTTGAACCTTTTTTTTTATTTTTAAACAATTTAATAAAAATATACGTATTTTTTTTTTTTACTAAACAAATTTTTTTTAAAATCCTTCCATAAAATGATAGGTGTGAACAGCAACTTGATACGTTTCATTAGAAATATTACTATATATCTTATTTTCCAATGAATGAGGTTAAAATCAAACAAGAAACGATGGAAATGTTACCCAACGGTTAAATCATCGGGATCGAGATGCCTCTCATACTTCGATACGTATACGGATACGGATACGTATACGGATACGTCAGATAGAACAATCTCTATTTGTAGATTTTAATTAGTTTATAATCTATATTTTATAAATCATGCCAAGAAATTGATCCACAATTGGGCCAATAGTTTTACATACAACGGATCGAAAAAAAAAGTCAGTTCAACTTGCATGGAAGTATTTTCATGTAGTTAGATCATATCTTTTTTTTTCAAATCATGCCCCCCTTTATTTTAGAGGGAATTAAAAAGGGGGGTTTAAATGTAATAATGTTTATGCAACTAGTTTTTATGTTCCCCTGGAAAAGAGGCCATATTGGTCTACCCCTGTTTGTTGGTCAGTCGATGAAAAAAGTGTTGTCTGGTCAATATCTCGAAAACCTTTTGCTTTACAAGCTTGGTAGACGTAAATGGTTGTCAATTTACCAATTGAAGCATAAGAGGAAAGAAGAACATATAAAAAGGTTCAGATTAAAAAAAACAAACTTTAAAATATGCAAATATTTTTTTGCGAACATGATACACTATACTGATGAATTTTCTCCTAGGCTCATCAAAGTGAGAAGTTATGTGGTGTAATCGCATGCAACAATTATTCATCATGTTTACGTACATCATCTGGAAAAGATGTGTGTATTGCAACTGGTATGTCATCAATCATATTTTTCATTTTAACTAGCTTTCGAGTTTCCACATGGGTAGACATACATGTATTTATGTCTACTTTATAACCATAAAGTTATTGTTATTTCTTTCCAGCTGCTAATTAAAGCTGGTCCGAAAAATTACTGTGCCTCAGTTTTGCTTTTGTTTGGGTTTTTTCGGGGGGGGGGGGTGTTTGTATTGTATTGTTTTATTTTGTTTTTATTTTTAAACACATTTTCAAATGTTCATTTTTTTCTTTTTTTTTTAAATTCCAAAATAGATATGCTTATTTAATGAATTGTGGTATAATTAGAACAATACACCAGGTTCAATCCGATCTTACAAATACGTCACATACTTAAGAGGAAATGCCACAAAATCTAGTTCTTTTTTTATTTAATTGCATCGTACTAGGAAAAGTAAAAGAAGTACCTGGCCAGTCACAATCATTGAAATTGAAATTATATGTTGATTTCTTTAAAGAATGAAATGTGAAGATTATTATTAGCAATCAGTCTAAAAAGTCTAATTAAATTATGCAAATTGAGATCATATTATATTTTCATATTTTACACAGAGTTCCTTGTACCTACTTTACATTATATGTACCTGTATGTAAAAACATTTTATTTATTCGTCTAGATTGTTCAGAACCTCTTCCGACACTGAGGAATGGTGTCGTTAGCAGTCGCACTGATTCTCCTATATCCGCTACTTATGGTTGTATCCTTGGTTATACTGGTGTAGGTTCTAAGAATACTATATATTGTCCTCCAGGAGGAAAATGGACCTCATTATCTTACAGGTGTGAATACCCAGGTGAGTTCTTCTTTGGCACTTTTTGTTAAATTGTATATTTATTCATAAATCAATTCTCAATTTTAAAAAAAGTACGGATTAGTAATGTTCTTCATAAACTTTTTTTTTCAATTTTGGGATCATTACATTCTCAAGAAACATTTCAATTTCTGAGTTTTCGACGTTTTTCTGTCCTCGGCGTTCGCTAAAGTGAGGGATATAAAATATCATTCGTCGATCTGTTTGTCTGTTAGCCTGGCTGTCAAAAAATTTACAGTTGTCATCGTTTCATTAATAAGAAAAGATAGAGCTTAGATATTTTACATATGCATTTCTTGTAAAAATACATTTCCGAATGTTCTATGAATTTTTACTTAATGAAAAGGTAGATGCATTTTATGCATAAAATGGCCTTGTATATGTACATGTGTAGATATACCAATTTATTGACTAACGTCCTTCTTACTACCAATCCCTGCTACAATTTTCCGCTGAGAGCCCTTATTAAGGATATCAAGGAAACAAATTAAATTAATAGTTATGATGAGGAAGGGTGCCTCTTCCAAAATAGTGAATTTCATTGCTCCTCTCTCAGGGGTTCTGGAATTAGGGCTAGGCTCTAATTATTACATGTTTAAAGAGAAAATGCATTAATTCTTAAAAAAAATTCTTCTCCTCTGTTCCTAGTTATTAATGAAACAAATGCATAGTAATGATTGGGGCAGATACCTTCTCCAAAAACTGTGAATTACATGGCCCCTGGGTCAGAAGTTCTGGTGTTAGGGCGGGGCGCTTATGATAATATAGTGAAAATGCATTGACTCTTTAAAAATCTTCTCCTCTGCTCCTGGATAGTAAGCCGATGAACTAAGTAAAGTGTTTTGATGAGGAAAAGAGCCTCTTTCAAAATTATGAATTTCATGGCCCCTGGGTCAGGGGTTTTGGAGTTAGGGTGGGGCTCTAATTATTACATCATGAAAATGCATTAGCTCTTTAAAGATCTACTCCTGAAAATTGCATTAGCTCTTTAAAGATCTTCTCCTGTGCTCCTGGGTATTAATGAAAAAAAAAATAATGCATAGTAATGAGAGGGACAGATGCCTCTTCCAAAATTATGAATTTCATGGCCCCTTGTACTTAGTATGTGTGCATTGGGGTGTCCTGCTTGAAGATAGAAAGAGTTATGGTCATGTAAATTCAGAGATCAGAGTTTAGATTGCTAGAGTCTGCTTGAAGTTGAGAGTGCTGGTAAAATTTTTTACTAAGTTTATTGTATAGTCAAGAAGCAAGTGTTGGTACCACGAATTACCAAGTAGCAAGCAGGTCAGTTGTTTGTGTAGCAAAGAGGCATCACCTCGAGTAAATATACATGCATTATAGATTTCTGTGTGTACTTAATTGTAGCACTTTGCAAGTGACCAAAACAATATCTGTACATACTGAATAGCTTCACACTAGGAAAGTGTCAATTGTATTTGTATATTTTGCCTTCATTATCATCCCTGTAAGACTTGGGAAAACCAAGAACGATCCCAGGGAGATCACTCGGGTCTCACTTGTTACAATAAGTAAGGATAATTTTACCAGATGTTTAAAATTCTTTGGCTAAGAAACTTCAATTATCAGTTTCTTTTATACTTCTTTAAATCCTTTCGGTATTGTATTATACTCAGGTGCCCGTTAACGCCCTTGGGCCTCTTGTTTTTTAATCTCATGAAATAGAACTCGGAGTGTGACATTCAAAATCTTTAATATTTGCCGTGAATTTGGCTCCAGAACAAACTACTTTGAAAAAACGAATAGTACATGTATTATGGACAGATAAAACATGGCGAGCAAGACAACTTTCATATAAATATATGCTATGGATCATTGCAGCCTTACCAAAATAAAAATCTGCAAAGCGGCGAACCACAGTTCTCTGTTTTCGCTTGTTTTAAATGTACATGTGTGCCCTCAATATTTTAGGTCTCTTTAAATTGCTCAACGTGCTTTTTTGGTTTCAGAGGTCTTATCATTAATTAAACGTTTTCAGATTACAGCCTTGGACAAAGAGATGATACCGAGCAAATTCTTCCAGCACATGAAATGAAAAAGCATTTGACCATTCTAGAATGTACTTTCAATATTTTCAGTACAGGGTGGATGGGGTCCCTGGGAAAGCTGGTCTTCGTGCTCCAAGGACTGTGACAGTGGTGAAAAGACAAGGAAAAGAAACTGTAACAACCCTTACCCAATGTATGGAGGGGCGGATTGTTTTGGATCCTCAACAAATAAATCGTCCTGTAATACAAACCCATGTTACGGTATTATATCTCATATAATGCACTTTTTTCACATGTTCTTTTGGTAAGAAATGTGAAATAATCTTAAATATGGGGGAAAAATCTCCATTTGAGAAATTAATTCTTGAAATAATGATTTCTTTTTTTTTTTTTAATTTAAGAAATCTTTACAAATGTACTCTCTATATATTTGATACATTATTATTTTCACATTTAAACAAATTCATTGTTTTACCTTCGAAGGTCTCAGCATATAATCAATAATATCAAGACTGAACATATTTTGTTTTAAGACAATACTCTTTTGTTTTTTGTATTTGGGTTAAATGAAGAATATCGTAATATACAATTCGCGTTCGACAATAGAGATCAAACGAATTGTATACTGTGTTTATTTGAATATTCAAAAGTTTAATTTGATTGACTTTTTATAATCGAACTGTATTAAAAAGACAGTAATGCCAGTAGAAGTTTGCGTTAGAGTGTTTTATCGTAGATATTCTTAATTATGTTACAGGTGGAGGATGGTTTGGACGAAGAAAGAAATAAGTCTCCTTCTGAAGGGTTTTCCGACAACTTGTACCTGGATATGAGATATACGCTTGGTACAATGTATATATACGTAACTGCTGTGCTTTATGAAATTCTTTGGCATGACATGTAATAACATCATGGCATTTTGAGTAGGGCTGGGACGATATATCGAGATATCGATAATATCGATTCAATGTGAGGATGATACGCATATAGATACGTATGAAGAAATATCGACATATCGTAAAGAAATTTCTGACTTGTGTTTTTCTTTGTTTACTTAACATTTTGGGTTAAATATATATAATAAATAGGCTAAATATAAACATGAAATACATAATTAATACCACTTGGGTAAAATGATTTTGTTTTACAACAGATACACAACTTCTCTGAATAAATTATTCTTATTTGTGAAGAAATGTTTCATTCATTTCACTCCAAAAAATATTTTATAACCAATTCAACATATCGTATCGTGGCTCAAATATCGTGATACATATCGATATAGAAAAAGCTGTATCGTCCCAGCCCTAATTTTGAGATGAGTTTAATTGGTATTAGTGTTGTTTTTGTGACCAACACCTACATGTACCCGAAATCAAGACACATTTTTTGTTTAATTGTCTTTTTATGACCAAATCAGAAATTACACATTTGAAGAACTTTACTATTACAATTTTCCATCTTTGAACGACTGTTAAAAATTAAATATTTTAATGTCATTTTATCCAAGAAAACTTGCAAAGTTCATGGTACAAGCTTATTCAAAGAGACATAAACATTTGTATAATTGAAAATCACGTGATGTATATTATAGTATTTCTTAAACAGATTGTTGAAGGTGACATAATATAAAGGTCCATTGGGCCAGGTGTTTGTAAAATGTGATATAATTCAGTGATTATCTGTTTTGTTTAACACATGTCACTATGATAAATAAACACTAAGACTACATACCAATTAGCCTCGAGTCCGATTTATTTCATTTTTCTAATTAGTTTAACTTTATCAGAATATTTAACAAATTAAACCTTCGAATGCATAATGCACAAAAATAGAAATTTGATATGTACAGTAAAACACATGTCAACATTGCTTTTCCATGGTTTAATACTTAAATATGTAGACAATGGGCAGCAAGCGATACACAAAAGAGAAAAAAGAGAGAGGGAGGAAGAAAAAGAGAGGGAGAGAAAGGAAGAGAGAAAGGGATCGAAAGAAAAATTGGCCCCCAAGTCGCAAAAAAGAAAATCTATTTTTTTTTTTTTTTGCTGTGCTTCATGACCTTACGAACTCTCCAGTGGATCGATCCCGACAATAAATCTATAGCAAGACTAATTTTTGAGTTTGATTTTTTATGGATTTTTCTTCTTTTTTAAAGCCAAATGATATGAAAACTCCAAGGAAGGTGTAAAGACCTCTTATTATTCTCTGAACAATTAGTTTACTAGTTTTTTTTTCATCACAGGAAATACTTTGTAACTGTGTGCCAGAAAAATATTTTATGAAGTAGACCCCCCCCCCCCCCCCCAAAAAAAAAATAATAATAATTACAATGTACGAGGGTTGTCTTAATTAATCATGTTGCATGTTGACATACTTTTCTTCATGTTAACATAATTTATCTTGCATGAAGGGGGCAGAAATATGCCACCATAGGACACGAATGCTGGACAACTCGCCCCCAAGACAACTCGCCACCTATTTAGGACAGCACGCCCCCGATTCAGGACAACATGCAACATGAATATGTCAACATGCAAAATAATTATGTTGACAAGCAAGATTCCAAACTTTATTGAGAATCTGATTTTTAATGTTTGTAAAATTACTTACTAATGCCAGTATACGACATCATACAAGCAAGCTGCAACAGAAATATGTTGACATGCGACTTATTATGCATAAAATATTTGCCGGTCCATTTTTGTAATTTCCAACTAGACTGTGCCTCGTTAAGTTATCTCCATTTAGTTTTTACACGGGTAACAGTACTGTTTGGACCTTGACTGCTCAACATACAACTTGGCCATAAGTTAGTCATATAATTTCGTGTTTTTACACTGTATATTTCACTGAAAATACGGCCAAATTCAGGCCAGTTTTCAATGTTTTATTTTTCACTAGATTATGCAGAACAGATTTTATTCTTTTTTCCCCAAGAATGCAATAATAAGCGAAATGATGCACTTATTGAAAGAAAATTAAGAAACCATCAAGGGATTTTTTTTAGAACAAAAATACTATGATTTAACTAAGATTGAATGACCATACAAAATGTATATTTTGCACATTCGTAAATATTTTGTATTTTCGGCTTGTTTATGAGTCAATATATTTTACATACGCAATCTTATAGAATTCTTCTTGAACGTAAATCAATGTTAATAAAAAGTTTTTACTGTAACAATGAAATAGTAAATCAAAGATATTGAATATTGCTTAAGGGTAAAATACTTATAGGATAGTGAGGACAGATGAAAGATGCATTTCAAGATCAAAAGAGTGTTTGACACTAATTATAATTGAGTTAAAACGTTTAGATAACAATTAGCGGATTAACGCAGGTGAAATAATGGGCGGTAACCTTTAGCGATGGTCAGTCTTGAGTAATAAAGATTGACAGTGATTGGATTGATAATCTGATTAATTTATAATTGGAAATGCCAATCAAAGTAAAGAAAAATATTTTATAAAATGTTATTTTAGTTAGAGTAGAGAGTGAGAGAAAGAAACAGAGCTAGAGTAAAGATACATGTACATTTAAGTTAAAAAGTGTCCGTAAAAGCCGTAACCTTTACCTCATTGTCATAAGGTCTGTCTATCCGTTTATTTAATTATTATTGTGAGTTTCCCCATATATATTGTACGGAATGAAGAGTAACTGATTCCCAAGATTGTTATTATATATTTTATTAACGTTACTTTAATAAATGTGGTAAATATTGCGAGTGTTGAGCTCATTCCCTAGTAACTGCCAAGGTGGAGACAGCACGACAAAACGGGCTGTTAAAATTGTACCATAAAATTTTTATTTGGTATTTGACACGCGATCATAACAACGCCTACTGATAAAATTATCTGAAATTATTTGAAGAAACTGAAAAATTCTCTGCACTCAATGATATTATAAGATATGAGGAACAAATGATGTGCACAGAACTCTTTTGCCAAAAAGACATTTTTCAATGATTTTTTTTTAGTGAAAAATAAATTTATGTATTATAAATTTGTGTAAATTCCATAATTTTTTTCTCATCTTTGTGATTATTTTTTTTTTTCATCTGTGACATTTATCTTTACAATTTTTGTATAACTTGATAAAAAGTTGAATATTCAACAGTTTCTCTGAAATTCTATTGCTTACATTGTTGATATTTATTTTTCTGTTCATTTGGCACATCATACATCATGGAAGGCAAGACACAATATCATAAAAAGATGGAAAACAGTACATGAGTATAATCAATTTCATAAAACATCTTTCTATGTGTTTGAAGATCTGACCAAAAACCGTTCCTCGATTTCATATCATACAAGACAATGGAAAAAAGCGAGCAATCAAATATAACTGGACGGACGATGGCAATATCTTTGTGAAATACCATGACGACAAATTTAAAAATTGCACGCGAATCGATGACCTTAAAACACCACCAGGTGTAGAGTCGCAGATAAAAGTATATGCCAGTGCAGCCATGGAAACAGTCGGACTTTCTTCTTAATGGCTCCACTGACTATATATATATATACCAAGATGTCAGAATCCAGTCTGACTATACATACACAGAAACCTGGGTAAAATTTGTTAATTTTGCTCTACGAACACAATAAACAATGCACATATTCTGCTTTTAAAAATTTTATGTAGAATTTTATACACTTACTACGGAAGCCGGTAGGTGCCAGGTAGAAAAATATTTTATCTGGCGACCGCCAAATAATTTTCTGGCGGCCACCAGATAAAAAGATCTGGCGGCCGCCAGAAAGTTATCTGGCGGCCGCCAGAAATTATATGGTGGCCGGCAGATAACTTTCTGGCGACCGCCAAATAATATTCTGGCAGTCGGCAGATAACTTTCTGGCGGCCGCCAGATAAGTTATTTGGCGGCTGCTAGATCTTTTTATCTGGCGGCCGCCAGAAAATTGTTTGGCTGTCGCCAGATAAGTTTCTGGCGGCCGCCAGTTATTTATGTGGCGGTCGCCAGATAATTATTTGGCGGCCGCCAGATAAAATACTTTTCTACCTGGCACCAACCGGCTTCTGTAACTTACCAAATGTATTCGTGTAACTCCAAACCACGTGCACTTAGACTAAGATCTAAAACATGGAAAATTTCTAAAGTCATGTGAAAATTAAAGAAATCAATAAGATCAAAACGTACAACATTTCAACAATTCATACAACCATTCCCCATGATAAATTAAAATGCATCCTTTTTAACATCATGGACAGCTGCTATTTCAATAGAAATGGAACTCGTAAATATACTTACCTTGTTATTGGTCATTTGCAAAACTATTTTGTTAAAAAACATTCTTATTGTACACACAAGTACTCTGAAGTTGATATCAAAAAGATGCATGAGATTTTGATTGACAATATCTATGTAGTTTTTGGAGATCAGGTCTTCCAACAATCTGTTGGAATTCCCATGGGTACCAATTGCGCCCCCTTATTAGCAGACCTATTTTGTATTCATATGAAGCAGATTTTATTCAAAAACTTCTACATGAGAAGAAGAAAACACTTGCTATGGCCTTCAACTCGATATTTAGTTTATCGACGACGTTTTATCAATCAAAAAGACACCGTGACGGAAAAAGGAGAAAATTTACAAAAGTAGAATCTTTGCATGACACACGCAAAATTGTGTTCAATTCTTGAAAATGTTACGTATCAGAAAATTACAAGTTTCCGAACCTAAAAAATATACTTTTATGGAGAAAAATAAAAGTAAAAATAATTTTTCCTTGCCCCAACACAAAAAAATATTGCTTCACTTCTTACTCTTTATTGTACGCAAGCGCAGAAAAGTTGAAGAATTTAGCATGGTGTCAATTCCATAGATAAAAATGTTGGATGACCGAGGATTTTGATACAGTCTTCAATAAAGATGATCAGAACTTATTCCCCCCTT